TGGGAAATGTTTTCTTAGCACACTCTGGGCCTGTTAATGCAAAGCAATCACTGCTTGAATGCCACAGCCTATTTGTGTACTGTTGTTGACCACGTGCATGCCTTCATTGCTAGCAGCTCAAGTTTTTACACAGTCAGCCAACAGTGTCCTAGTTAACCCCTTAAATGGCCAGGGCCCACTGGCGGCCTAAAGTTTTAGTACACATTTCTATAACCTAAGAATAGATTAGCCAGTTTGCATTGAAGCCCCTGTAGTTACTGAATAATAAGTCTTAGTATGTAATAAGCCTGCCTAAGATTTAAAGGATTGAATCTCATAACAGTTATTTTATTTGATTATATTTATTAAAAAGTTGATTTCAATTTTGATTCTGCTTATGGAATGGTCACAAGGAGGCCTACAGAAAGAGGATACTACTGTTAGTCTACACTAAGACACATATCTCCAGACTGTCCCTTTGACAACCCTGATGCATAAATTTTTCATAGCAATGCAATGCTATCTATGTGTGTGCATTTCTGGTAATACAAAAGCACTCATAAAAAGTAAATGTGAATAAGGTAGGCGCTCATATTGTACTATGAATGTTTTCTTACATTCAAGTTACATTTCTGGACAGTCAAGTTCAGATAAAGACACAACTTTCTGATTCTGCATGTGCTTTTGATCACTTTGTCTTCTATTGTTTGGACATTTTTATAAGGTGTTCTTGCTAAGAATGTCTATCAAATAACTACATGCAAATGTAGATGTAAATGTTATTAGTGATTCTGATGTCATGATAATTTGCCGTTCTGTTAGACGAGCATTTCAAGAGTAATTTAGATGTTTTTGAACAAAAAGGGGATTATTATTATTATTATTATTATTATTATTATAGTAGTAGTAGTAGTAGTAATAGTAGTAGTAGTATGTGTGTAAAATTCCTGAGGCTAGAATAGAGTATAGCATCGCTGTCCAGAAAAAAAATATATATTTTTTTTTCTGCATCATTTGAATACAGGAGCTGAAGAATGGACCAGTAGGAATGCTCCAAAATAACTTTATGACATTGACATACATAAAAAGTAAGGAAGGTTTTTCCTTCTCCTGAAAGGTTACCGTTTTGGAGATACTTTTTTTTTAACAGTGACAATAAACAAAAAGCTTTTGAAGCCATAAATGCATGTCCACTTCAGAAGTACAAAAAGTCCTGGTCAAATGACTCATGTTCTAAGACAGGATATACATTTACACATGCTTACAAGTTACACAACTACACTTTCTGAGGGTCCAGCGGGAGTGAAAAGCCTCTGGTTTTCTTCATTGCCTCCCACTACATCTGCATTTCCTCCATGACTGATTCATTCAGTGGGAACAGACAACTGCTCCATTTCAGCTCCATTTCAAATACAAACACAACTTCATCTTACTTCATCGTGCTATACTGCTCACATGTTCTGCTGCTGAAACGAAAGCTGTACTCCTCTATCATTATATTATTAATGGAGAGCAAGCTAAAGAGTAGTGGCATTTACTGACAGTTAAATGACTACATTTTATTTTACCACCACTTTATTTAATAACATAAGCGAGCTGTTACTGATAGGAAATAGACACAAGATATCCTGCTTAAGGGCATTAGAAGTAAGGCTGAGACAAGCAATGGTTTGACAAAAATCTAATTTACAATCTAATTAAAAAAAAATCTAATTTTCCCTTAGTTCACAGCAACTATGAGGCTAATGTACCTAACAAGTGATGAAAGCTCATAGTCCACCAATTAGCATTATGCAGACTGTGTGCCTAAATTATCACACACTCACCTTAAACCAAATCATGTTGTTAAGTAATAACAAATAGTGTTTTTTTGTGGTTTCTCAGACTCTATGAGACTATGTAGCCTTTTAAAATCAGTGAAGTATGCTGCACAGCTAAAAACAGTAGTGGTCTTGAAGCTTGAACTCTGTGATTGCTTAGCAACTCCATGCAATTGGAGGCAAGGGTGTTATGATTTAGACATGCAGTTGACACAATGCTAATTAGTGTACTCAAACTTCCATTATTTGCTACATTAGCCAGTGCACATCATAAAATGCAAATTCTGGACCAAACATGACTTGGCTGATTGACTACATTTGATTTAAGGAGAAAAATGTGTAACTTTTATATTTCATCAAACTATCGGTTTAAACTGCAACTGTAACCATCACTGCAGACCTTAAACCTGCAGTTTTATGATTACAGACCTTAAAATGAGCGGTAGCACATGGCAATTCCAGGATTCACAGAAGGAAGACATCAGGCCCTACAGCTCTATCCAGCATTAGACATGAAATCCTGCAGCAGCGCCTGGTGCTCAAGGGACCCAAACCCCAAACCTGCCTCCTTCGCTGCTGACGTGAACGCCCCAGCGGTTTTAATAATACGGGCTGATTCACACCTGAGCTACTCTGCAAGTCATAACACACTCATTAATTCCAGTTAAACACAGTGTTAGTCACATCGGAAATCAGGTGTGTCGATAAAGCTCTGAACACATGTAACTTCCAAGTGTACTCCTGTAACTGTGACACAGTCTATTAACTACACTCCGCATTTAACATTCGTCTTCATGTCGAAAGGTTTGTAGACTCCTGCTCATCCAACATTTCTTCTGAAATCAAAGGTATTAATAAGACATTTGTAACAGCCTCTAATCCTCTGAGAAGGCTTTACACTACATGTTAGAACATTGCTGTGAGGATTTGATTGCATTTAGCCATAAGAGCATTAGTGAGGTCAGGTACTGATGTTGGATGACGCCAAAGAGCTTAATTGTACAGTAACATGCAGTTAATGTATTAACTGTTAGCTAGCAATTAATGATGCCCTAATAAACAAAAACATAACATTTGTAGGTCTTCTGTAAATTAGTTATAAACTCTATTGAGTAATGGGTTAAATGCTAAATAATTGAAAGCTTTCAGTTAGAAGCATAACTGAAATGTCTTTAAGTGGCATGTCAATCAAGGAGTATGAACAGCTAATATTTATCTGAATTCACAATGAAACTACAGTATTTCATTGTAGTTTTCTAAAAAAAAGTCTGCTTTGGGAAATAATGTTCTTCTTTAACAGTTTATAACCTGTAAATATTATTTATTAGCACTTACTAAGGGCGAGGCAGTGCAATTTCTAAAAAACATGCAAGCTCTCCTTTTAAAGAAACAATATGTAATATATATGTAACTTACTGTACTAAATCATAAAATGACCATGATACATCATCAGAGATTATCAGAGATTCACCTTTGAAATTTTTTGTTCCAGAGCGGAAAGTCGGTTTGTGTTTTGGCCTGTGATCCTGCCCACTGCCCAGCTTTGTGGTCGCAAGTATGTTACTGAGATAGTCACAGCATCTGCACTTTTGTCCATTTCCAGAGAAAACAGGCTTTGGCAGGATCTCTTTACCATCACCTGCCCTTCTATAGTTCAAGCCTGCATTTGCATAAAAAAACTTTCTTTTTTATTTTACTAGACACACCTGTAAACAGCTGGACAGAGAGATGGAGAGAAAAGTAAGAGGAATAGAGAGAAAGATGAAGGGATACAGTGTTATTGAATTAGGCCTATCTAACTTTTAAATCAAAAATAGATCTAAACATAAATACCTGCTCTGAAGCTGGGAAGGGAAGACAAACATGAATATGAAGTTGCTGAACAGTTTAAAACAGTAGACTGTATTTTTGAGCTTTAACTGCTGTCTAAATGTAACATGGTTTTATGAACAGGGTAATAATCTAAAATCATATCACCTAATATCAAATTAATGTTTGAATTACACTGGGACTGAAATAAAGCTTCCTGGGAGCACAACACTGGATGAGCTCTTGATGTTTAGATGATTGCTCCCCTAATTTCGCACCTGCTGTAGTTAGCTTTTGGATGGGTGCACTGGAATTTTCTTAATTAATAAATTACTTTTAGCAAGTGTGAGCCAGACAAGACTCAGAAATGTACTCATACTTACTTTAAAGCTGCTGCTGAATCGCAGCCTATTACTGTATTTCAGCAGAGCTACAGAACAAATCCTGTCTTTTTTTTTTTTATAATCACTAAAACATTATACTCCCTAAATTTTTGCTGGTCTGCATCATCGTCCCGTAACTCAGAAAGGCTGAGAACAGTGATTAGCATAATCACAGCGTTTTCCCATAATTGGCAAACAAGCAGATTCTACATAAATTAATATGCATGATTTGGCAGAGCAATTGGCAGACAGGCGTTTTTACACTATCAGCTTCTATGGAGTGTAAACAACCAATTAACCAGAGCGAGCAATCAAACACACACCTGGGAGAGCGAGGGAGAGAGAGAAAATGACAGTGAAATGCTGAGTCACTGAGGCAAGCAGCACTACGAACAAGTGCAGTATTCTAAGTATTCTTACCTCTCTTTAAGTGATAAACAGCTCATAAGTCATCGCTATGCAGCCTGTGTTTCTACTGCAATAGACAGGAGCAATAATAAAACTACCACTCCCTGGTGGAAATGTGTAATTGCACACAACATGCGGAAGAACATTTTGTAATGTCAGCTGTGCTTTGGGCCTGTTCTCCGAGTGCATGAATCTGATTATTGCAAGCACATTGAAAGAGTTTTTAAAGAGAACTCATCTTCTGAGGATGTAAGTGAATTATCTACTATTGTCATATCTTTGTCAGCATAATGCTAAATTTGCATTTAAAGACCAAGCTGAACCTTCTTTTTGAGGCTACATGTGTAACATTAATATGCAGAGATGTTTAATGTGGTGTAAATAAACCTCCTACAAAATTTGACCCAACGCCTTTGATTTTTAAATAATTATTTCAGGCTTTACAGGATGATTCACAGCAGCACACAAACACCACATTTTAGCATGTTTTCTCCTGATGTAGTAATGCTACTTGTTTCCATTTCAACAAATAAACGTACATAATGCAACTTCAATAATAAAAGCAGCTAACCAAGTTTTTAAACATTAAAGACGAGACAAGTAACTAACAAGATTTTATTATTTGTTAATAAGGTTAATTAGTCAACATTGTACAATTCAACCCACATATTACCATGGTGTCAACAACACAAACATTTAGGAACTTTACTGTGAGTGTGCATATGTGTGTGTGTGTGTGTGTGTGTGTGTGTGTGCACGTGTGGGGTGTGCTGTAGTGTATTATTACATATTTTAATATTTAAGTGTTGGAAGCATGGGAATGAACTTCGATTCACTTTAAGATTGTGTGTGTAGAATGTCACAGAGGACTGAGGAGTTGAACCACTGATGCATACTACGCTTACAGGTAATATATATTGAAGGCTGGTGTGTATGCTTTGGGAATTGAGCCCTGGCATGAAGCTAACACATGAAAGTTTCAATTCTGTACATCATCACTGCAGCAGTCAAGCTTTTTAACTTGCACATACACACTTCATGCCAGGATGCAGGTCAACGTGTGGCTCATACAGGATATCAGTCCAGTCCAGTTCAGTTCTCCAAAACACTCTCCTTCACAGCGTCAGGTAGATCATGGTCCCACTACTCAGCTCCTTCACCTGTCAATCAGAACCAACAAATTAACCAAAGCTGATATTACAAACTCCATGTACTAAGGAATGAATGAATGAATGAACACATGAATAAAAAGAGGACCAGTATGGGAGGGATTTGAAAAATAAATGATGTTTATAAATAAATCAAAGGTATTAGTTTGGTGTAAATTTCTACCCACTGTTCTATCTACTTGACAAAAAACAAATAGAGCTAAATAAATCAAACAGAGTTAAATAAAAAAAGAATTTAATTAAAATACATAAGCAGAAATTACACCTCACCAGTCGTAACGAGGACGAGGGGGGTGTCGGGGCGACTCGTGACGGGGTGCTGGGGAGGAGGAGTTTGGGGGTGCGGTCAAAGCCAGCTGCCCCGCTCCCATCCTGCGGTCCCGCCCATAATCCAGCCCACGGATATTAGGAGGTGCATACCGTCCCACCCCCCTCCTCCATTCCTCATCAAACGCAGCTGCCTCACCTGAAAGAGGGAGACAGAGAAACACAAGTTATCCCTAAACAAAGAGATTTCTTGCACTCTGGGCTGATAAAAGCAGCCAAGCAAAGTTTGTTAATCAAGCACATACTGACATGTCTTATATTGCTCTTACGCTGTGTCTTAATTTTGTACTCCGTGTCTTTCTTTCTAGGTATCAGCGCTGACTTTTGTTTCTGGCAGTGTCTTAGCTCAATGATATTTGGATTCTAAGCTATCTGTCTTAGCTAGAATACATTTGAGTGGACAACAAAGCACTTTGGTAAGTCGCTCAGGATAAGAGCATCATCTAAATGCCATCAATGTAAATGTAAAATGGCAACGATGTATGCATTTATGTGCTTTTTAGAAGAGCAAGTAAAACAGGATCTCATCTAGTCATACTGTGGAGGCAGCAAAAGTGTAAATGGAATCCAAAGCATATCTAGATATGATCTGACCAGGAAACGTGTTAAGCCTCAGTGATAATGCACCGGCAGCATTACGCTGCTGTAGGGAATAAAGGCTAAAGTTGCACTCACTCTCCTCCAGGTTGATGAAGTCCTGTCTGTCCTCCCGGTCGCCCGTGCGGCGGTTTCTGGAGCGTTCTATCACATGGGCTCTTTCACCAATGTGGTGGCCGATGGACATCCGCTCCATACCACTCTCACTGTCGCGGAGAGACTGACGCGTCTCCCTGATCTATACACAATAAACTACAATTAGTCATAAAGGACGTACACATGTGAGGGAATCACCATTAAAGCACTGTTTTAAGGTTGTGTACGTGTCTATGCGTGGATGCACGCCTGCATCCATGATGTGTCTTGTATGTGTGTGCCTCATCCTTCCTGGTGCCTGTCAGGATTTATGGCTTAAGCCCGCTTTACACTGTGCGATTACTGCATGTCATGTTGCATGAGATGCTGCAAATAAAAACTTGGCCAAACTCTGTCAGATGCTTCATATCAGATTTTACAATAAAGGTTTTCTGGTGGTAGATTCACAATGCAAGAAAATGAAGACATTTCGCATGTGCTTTCTTTTTTGCCAAAAAACAAGCAAATAAAATCCTCGGAATACCAGTGGCGTAGCACTGTTTGGGGGGCAAAAAACAAAACACAAAGGCAGAGATTCTGGAGCTGTTCTTGGCTTGGGGAAAAGGGCTACGTGGAACATTCATTCTCCAAAGTGAACCTCAGGTCAGTAGGCTAATTCTTCTGTCTGCTATGTGGAAGCTAGCTTTGCTATTTCACTGCATGTCACTCTATATGTGAGCTGAGGGCTGCACCAGACTGATAACTTGAGGCTTTATTCTTAAACTTGTGAACAATAAAGTTTTTAGCTTAATTTATCATCTTTCTCTCCCTCTCTTACAAACACTTGTCATTTCATGATGCTCCTTATTGGTTGTTATTAGATGTGTGTTGTAGTAGCAGTCACACTATTGCTATTTTGGACTAAAATTTCTGACGCTGCCAGAACTTTATATTTGGTTATCTTTGGTCGTTACAGTAAATGTTCAACGACTACCAATTTTAACTCATAATCAAAGAATTTTTTCATTTGTGACAGCATTATTGTGACGATTTTCGCACAGTGGGCAATTAATCAAAATTTATTTTCAATGTTCAATTTTCAATTATGATTCTGCCTTCCAACGATTATGAAAACAAGATCATAAAGATAAAACAATTATTGTTTTTCGCATTGATGCTCTCATATTGTCTTGCGTTATATACCCAGTGCACCCGTCCTTTACGGCGGTGTGCTTTTGCCCCTTACTAAAAGCCCAAACTCACTCTCAGCAAGGCAGTGGCATGTTTATTTCAGCTCGAGCCAAGATGATGAAAAAGAGCTTTTGGTCAACAAGAAAGGTAAAACCAATTTACCTGTTTGCAAACACTTTGGTTTCAAGGAGTCTGACGAGAAACAAATACTGTACAGGATTGTTAAACAGTAGCAATGCCAGAGTGGGTAATCAGGAGACTGGGGAGAATTCCCGTTGGGCCAGTAGCGTTTTGGGCTGGTTACTGTGAACCAATGAATAAACTCACATATAAAAGCACAACAACGCTGAGACAAACTATACATCCAAATGTATATCTGTAGTAAATCAGAGGTTAAACAGTGGCCCACACCTTAAGTTGCACAGCCCCGGTTAGCTGACTGTAACTTGTACAGTGGATAGAGATTAGACAACGCTGAAGCTTCTTATTTCCTGTTCCACCTTAAATAACGTAGACTTACATTCAGATGCCTGTTTGGATGCTAGTGTGTAGCTGCTGCACTACTTAAGGTAGAATGGAAATTCCAGCAGCTCAACAGGAACATCAGCCTTGAGAAATGACAAATTAAGCACAACATCATACTGGCTAACACAGCAGACAGTGCTCAGAGGTTCTTACAGTTTTCACAATTTTCATATGTTAATTACATAGACAGCTGCGGCAAGAATTCCAGAAAAAAAACAGTGAAAAAGCTAGTTAAGGATAATGAGTACGAGCAGGAGGGCAGTGAGAAATGTTGGCAGGACCATAAAAGTTATTTAGCTAACGTTAGCATTATCTGTAGCATATTGTCATAGTCATGACACATTTATGACAAAAACTTTCATTAGTTTTCATTACATCGCTATGGGGCCACCTTGTTTATGTCAGTATAGCATATAACTAATAAATAAGAATAAGAAAAGAAGATGAAAACTTTTTCTAAAATCTGTGCGTTATGTTGCACGAAAGCAATGCTGTGTGCATGTAGCAGTAGAAACATGAGTTTAAGGTGGGCTGCTCTGCATTATATTACTCCCAATCTGAAAATAAGTCCCACTCTGGCCCTGCACAGCTGTATCTGCACCAAAAGGCAATACAGCCAATTTGTTTAATCATCTGAAATTCAATGTTATAACCATAAAACCAAGTTAAATAAATGCATGATGCTTCATAGGGGTGCAACGATTATTTGATTTAGTCAACTAAATTCGACAACCAATTTAATTGGCAACTAATTTAGTAGTCGATTAGTTGGTGACGCCATTACGCGTCTTTCTCGCGCTCACTAGGAATGTTTTGACATTACCACTTACTGGAGAGTTAACAAAAGTGCGATGGCAGCCTCAAGAACAAAATCCTCAAAAGTGTGGGAGCATCACGCTAAACTCAGAAAAAAAGGTTGTCAGTTGTACTATTTGTAAGCCAACCTTGGCTGGCATGGGAGCATATCCTCCATGCTGGAGTATCTGAAGAGGAAACTCGTCAGCTCACTGGACGAAGAAGATTAATCTGAGTAAGAGATTAATCACCGCATCCCAGAATGCACTCAGAAGTGCATGGTTTGGGATGCAGCGACAGTTGTGCTAGTGAGCAAGTTAACTAATGTTAATGTTAAAAGCTGTCCTGCTTCATGTTATGAGCTGTAACATTTCCTGTTTTGAAAGGCATGTTCTCTGGAATCGCTGGAGTTGGAAAAGAGAAGCAAGTAACTGTTATTCACAGCGACGCTGTTCACTTTCCACATAACGTTTACACTTTTAAACACTGCATTGTTGTCTTAATGTCGAGGCCACCGGTGCGGTCAAATTCAGAGAACTTTTGTAAACACTTCTGTTTTCCGCACACGTTTGCCATCACTCAAACACTTTCAGGAGGTAGTTCTCCGTGAACACACAGGGTATCTGGACAAAGGGTTACCACTGAAATGAATGGTTTACACAAAATCATTCATTTAACTGTGCAAAGAGAAGTTAGCCACAAATGTTCGCTACTTTCCCATCCGCTCCATCAGAGCACATCTCCTCTGCAGCGGGGAATATCTGCTCTCAGAGGAGATCATGCCTCTCAGAAGAGCACAGAGAGATGCTGACTTTCCTCCGTTTCACTAAAGACCTGTGATTGTAGAATTTAGTTTCAGCAGAGTGTAGACAGACAGCAGAATAAACAGAGCACAGACTGCACTGTTTAAATTTATAATTTTAATTCTGAAGGGAAAACTGATTTAGTTTGTTACAGTTTACTGCTGCCACTTTGCACATCTATGGTTTTAAATTTTGACAGGAAAAATATTTTTGGAGTTTTATTTATATTTGGAATTAGCAGGAAAGATCATTAAAACAGTGACTTTTTGAATGTTATTCATCTTTGTCTTCATTGTTAGCAAATGCATAAAATGATCTCAAGCTAAATTTAAAAGCTAATAGCTACATAACAGTTATTTGCTAATGTAATGATTCATAATCAGAATAATCAATTATTCGTTTCAGTAATCGATAGATTATTCGACTATCAAATTAGTCTTTTGTTGCAGCCCTAATGCTTCATCAGTGAGTAATCGTGTTAAATAACTGTGATCTCAATACTGACCAAAACAATTTTAATTATGATTTCTGCCATGATCAAGCAGCCGTAGTGTAAACCAGACTTTAGCCAGCTAACTTAGTTCAATCTAAAACTTTGGATTTTCTGTCTCACTATGGTGGATCACTTTTTACTAGGCTACATCTCCATGGCAAAACAGTTCTTTGACCAATCAGGCTGAACATCTGACTAATCAGTATCAGCCTTCTGATAGAGGAGGACCCCTCTGGTCCTTCTCGTCTCACTTTTTTCTTTGTGATGTCTGTGGCATCAACCAAATCACATGACATCAAGGTTTTGTGAAGCTGAAATTTTGTCAGGAACCCTGTCCAAGTTGAACGTGCTTTGTGAGACAGACCCCAGGACTGGTGAATGCGTATAGGAATGTGTACATGTTTGTGTATATGTGTCTGTGAGTATGCTTGTTGTGTCTCATCCCTCCGAGAGTGGAGTCTGTATTTATGTTGAATGTTTATTTATGCACATGTGTGTAGGTGTTGTGTCTCACCCCTCCAGGAGCGGTGCGCACTTCACTGGTCTGCTGGAAGACTTTGGGTGCTCCAGAGTCGGTGGAGGAGTAGGAGATGACTGTGGAGGAGGAGTAGGTCTGACAGCTCGGAGAACCAGACATCCTGTCCTGTAGGAGCCAAGAGCATCACACAATAACTCAGGCAGACAGAGGCACATGAATAATCATGCACAAGGAAGCATATAAACGCGCACACAGCACAGTTAAGGACAACAGTGACGACTGGATTAACCAGCCCATCTAGAAGCAGCAGCAAAAAACAAAACTGCGTACAGTCCCCTCCACTTTATTAGAAACCCCTACCTTGTAGCTCCAACTACCTGGTGGTCAGTCAGAGCCTCTAACTTTAATCTGCTGATGCACAATTTGTATGAGACCTACATCAGCGTTCCATTTCTGATCGCAAAGCCACTCTTGGTTAGTTATTTTGGGTGGTGGTCCACTCTCAACCTAGCAGGAACACTGATGTGTGTAAAAACTCCAGTAACATCACTGTACCTTGTACACTTGCACTAGCACCACACACTTTATCATCCCACCACCATGTCAGTGTCACTGCCTTGTTGAGAGTGAGTGTGTTTACATGCTCATCAATAATACAATCATTTGCAGACTTTGGCAGTTATTTGATTACTCAAGTGAAAGTAATCAAATACAGCATTTGAAAACATGACAACAGCATACTCAGATAACTGGATCGGATTAAGGCCCTTGCTGGATTTCTAAAAATCCATTAAGAGACCTACATTTTAGCTCAGTCATCAGGTTTTTCCACAACTGTATACACTTACTCTGATTTCTTTTGTTTTTCTCAGTCTGTGCAACAAAACATTTTTGGAGCGACGCTGAAACCAACTACATGTTTGACGAAATGAAGAATTTACACATTATTTGTCTTCTAGATGATGCATATTCATATTTTCTGGTAAAGTGACTAATTTAAAAAAATTGGCATGACATCTGAGCTTTACTTTACATTTACATCATGTCTTATTCTGTGAGTTTATTGGCTGGTTGCAAAGCAGAAATCTGATTGTTGCCTGACAAGTGCATGTAAATGCGGTGAATGAATTACTGATAAAATCGAATTTTTGCAGTTATCAGATTATTAAGTGCATGTAAACACTCTGTGATGCACCACCCAGATAATATCACAGTGGTCGGTTGTCAGAAACTGTTCAATGTTCAGTAGGTTAGTAGATGACTGACAAATTGTGCAACAGATGAGCAACAGTCAGTAATTATACACCTATATAGTGGACCTATAAGGTATGTGGATGTCAAAGTTGGGGTTTCTAATGAAGTGAAGAGTGAGAGAACATCTACAGTTAAGAGAGACAGACTGGACTAGTAGTAAATGGGCTACAGTCCAACTCTCAGTCGCCCCACCAGTTTGAGAAATCCACAGCACAGCCAGACAATAAGCCATTCAAAACTCTTTCATGCATAAAATGTCTAATATCTCCACACAGCTGCTTGGTGTTAAAGAGTAGAAAATAAGCTTTGTTTGGCCGCTGGGATTTCATGGTGCATCTGCTACACAGATCACTAATGAGCTGTGGCAACACTCACCATGTTCTCCATCATCTCACTCATCATCCCAAACATGTCCATGAAGCCCCCGCCCTGCGACACAGGAGCAGCACTCATCAAACCCCTACAGACTCAAACTATATGCTTATCACTTTGACTGAAGAAAAGATATGTGGTTACTTCACTGGTAAAGTTAAAACGAAAGAAAAATAACACGATCATACCATTCCCATCATGCCGAACGGGGTCAAGGCTCCAGCCTGTGGCTACAAAGAGAGAAACCAGAGAGGGGGAGAGTCAGACCTCCTCTAAATGATCAAAGACCTACATGGCCCAAGAAATACTTCCATTTCATTTAAACTGGTAAAGTGGTGCGAAGAGTATGGCATAGCTAATGTTTGCTATTCTTCCTCACATGAACAGTTTAAACGCAGACTGGGCAATATTATTGTTATGGAAAAATAAATAAATAAATAAATAAATCACAATGTGCTTTCCTGAGACTGTAAACAACCACTGGTGGTGTCATACTGTTAAAGTAAAAGTGCACATAGTAACAAGAAGCTGAATGAATGTCAATATCTTTGTATCATTCTTTGTTTTCAAGTATCACATTATTATATATATATTTTTTTTTAAACCACTGGTGTATAATGATCCACACATTACACACATAAAGCATTATACATGTGTGTGAAATTGGGTTTGAGCGCACTACACTCTTTTATATAAATAAAAATAGGTCTTGCATGTTCTAAACCCCAAAGAGTGTAAAACATTGTGTTCTCCAGCTCAGGGCTAGGTTTGTGTAATCAGGAGCAATGCTGAAACAAACACAGACCGTTATCTGACAGGTACGCCTACCTGCAGGTGTGTTCTTGGAGACTGGATCTGAGGGTTCAGGGGGAAAGGCTCGAAGCCAAAGGGGCCAAACAAGCTCCTCATCTGGTGTCTGTGTGCTGCAAATGGATCCCTGAGAAGACAAAGCGACCAAACTCCCTTTATTACTCAGGTTAACAGAGATGCAACAACTTTTCTTACTAAAAATACGACTGAGAATGAGAAAGAGCTTAAAGCTATACTCACATCATATATGGACTGTCATCAACATCATCCAAATAGCGGAACATTGTGTTGCTTTTGAATTTGCGTAATTATTTAATGAAAATAAATAGCTGCTTAAGTTAACTGATAAACTCTTTTTTTTAATGTAACTAAGTAGATTTTAAATACAACTACGTATCTAATGCAAATATTTAGTGCAAATCGAAGTAATTAAGTATGTTTGATGCAACAAAGTAACAGTTTAATGTAACCCGAGTAAGTAAAGTAGCTAACTAAGCAAAAATTCAGCGCAACCACGTATCAATTTGAAGTAACAGTTAATGAAATAGCAACTTAATGTAATCAAGAAGCTGCTTCTCGCATTTAAGTCGCACAGTAACAGAACAGCAACTGTGTCATTGCAGTTGGAGCACACAAATAAGCTCTGATCGATACAAATAGTATGGTTAATCGAAACGTTTATTAAATAATTCTGTCACGCCTTCTCAGTCTTTGATAAACCCTCTGCAGTTGCGGATAAAGAAGCAGAGAGCGTTGGACTGAGCTGGGTCAGTCTGTCTGAACATTTAGCGCGACTCTGGCTGAACACGGAGCTGGCTAGTTCGCTAAAGCTAACGCTATTGCTAACAAACAGCTACAAGGTTGGCATCTCCTGCACTAGCTACAAACCTCAGCCTACAGCAGTTAGCTTAGTTCGGCTGTGCCTCGCTTAGCAGAGCAGATCTCCTACAGCGCTCTAGCGAGTGAAGCCTAGCGAACTAGCTTTGTTCCTAAGTGTGATTTTAAAAACGACAAAGACGGATAAACACGTCAAACTACGACGTCTGCAGCCTGGCTATCAGCAGGTGTTAACTTACATTTATCCACGCAGTATGAGCACTAAAACACGTCTACAGAAGATACATTTTACAAAATAAAGCCGAGTAAGGCGGAATAACAGCGCCGAGGAATCGAGAATAAAACTCCAAAACACAAAAACAGAAGGCCGCAGAGCAGAACAGCAGGCTGTGAATCAGACACCCGAAACCAGCTGCGAGTTCACAATGAAAAGTCCCACAGTAAATTTACATCTAGCACTGTTAACAATTTATAACACAACATAAGCAGAATAGCAAATGGTACACCCCCTAATATAAAAGACATAAATATATTTACACATTATGAAATAATTTATAAATGACATTTTTATATTTAAATTTTAGCAACTGATCACACTGACTACACTGGTCAGCCCTGTTGTCAGGAGATTCTTATTTTAAATGTCACTGTCATTTTTCACTGCTAATAGAAATGTTTAAACATTCTTAACAAAAAAGAATTTATCATGCAACATCCAGAGTAAATATATCAATTACACAGAGTAGCTGGGTCCAGGTATTTCCACTGTGTTTTAAAGACTTTTATTATGAAAAGCAACCCATTATAGTAGGTCTCTCTTCCTAGTTCACCTCATATCGCTGCAATTTTCTAAGCTCCACTGTGCGAGTCATAATATTCCCTCTCGTTGTTTTATATCCAGTTGAATCGAATTAAATCTCAGGTATTTCATGTATTCGGTCAGTTTTATTTTGTTAGGATGGCCTTGGTTTCCTTTAATCTGCAGTGATGGGCATTTGCTCACAGCGCCCCCAGCTGGATGGGCGCGAAACTGAAGCTGAATCCGGACGTAACCAACGCCTAGTAGCGCAGAGGAGCGGTGAGTGTTTTACTTTTGATATCTGTGTTTATAAATTGTTATTTATGTCAATAACTTTAGATTCATATGAGTTATTTTTGCACTGTCGCTGATTGTGGGCTTTCATTATTTTGTAGTTTTGCTTTATTGGCTCATTCAGCGCTGGCTAACGTTAGCCAACATTTCGAGCCCAACTCTGAGATGGTTTGATCAGTTTAAAAGAACTTTTAAAAAATATATTTATTCATTTTACGGTACGTTCTTGTTTATCTTGTGCCATTTAAAGTTATGTCTGTTTTGATAAAAGTTGTTGACACACTTCAGACACTTCAGAGTTGATGTAAAGAGGGAAAGTTGTGGTGTAAACAGTACAGCAGAGAGACTAGTGAAGATGATGAAGATGGTGGGGATGATGATGATGATGATGGTGGTGGTGGTCCATCAATGCATATCCACAATTCTGAGCTCAGTAAAATGGACCTGTATGAGGAGTCACTCAGACCTGACCCGTCTGAACTGTCCCAGTGGGGCCTTTGCTTTGGGAGGAAGTGACTGCTGCTGAAGAAGGAGTGAAACTGATTCACTGAAGGAGTGTAGAGGTGCACCGCCACCACCAGCCCCCCATCTATCTTTCCTTCTCTGATTTTCTGATTCTCTGATTCTCCTTTATCCACCCTGTCTCTCTGTTTCTCTCCCTCTTTGTGTTACTTTTTCTCTGTCTTTTTTCACTCACTCTCTTTTTTTATCTCATTCTGTTTCTCTTTTTCTCTCATTCTTTTTTTCTCTTTTTGTTTTTCTTTCTCTTTGTTTCTCGCTGTGTATCTCTCTCTTGCTCACTCTGTTTTCTGTTTCTCTTCCCCTTTTCACTGCTTCTCTGTTTTTTTCTCAATGTTTCTCTTTCTTTCCCTCTCCCTGTCTCCCTCTCCCTTTCCCTCTCGCTATTTCACTCTTTATCTTTCTCTCACAATCTCTCCCTTCTTTCTCTCTTTTTCTGTTTTTCTTTCTCCTTCTGTTTCTGCTTTTCTTTGTCTTCCTGTTTCTCTGTCTTTCTGTCTATCTGTCTTCATTTCTACTTCTTTTTTTCTCTGTGTTCTTTTCACATAAATGTTACAAGGTTCATTATCACTAAAGCAATCATGTATACATAAATAGGGGAAAGAAGGGGAAACAGAATTATAGGAAGTAAGTTATTTGCAACAATCAACAACAAAAAAATATCAGTAGTAAGTTGTCTTTTCTTACTGTTTGTCATTTAGATTGGCCTTAGACTTTGACTAGATGCCAAATATCTGCCTGAATGACCAACTTTTCTCTCTCAACACTCAAACAGTGATTTTTGGATATGTTTTTGTGTATTTTCATGTAAATGTCAGATTTTTGTTTGCAGTATGTTTAGACACAGTAAGTGCAGTCTGTTCTCTCTGGACAGCAAATCTGTCTGCAGCAGCCAGTTTCAGTGGCTAGGTTGTGGTCACTGAACCTGTACATTTATCAAATATTTCCACTGTGTTTTGCTGTGACTGGGGTCAGACCTGTGGACAGTCTGGATGAATGTTTTGGCTGAGTAACAGATGAAGTTATTAGTGAAGTAGAAAGTTATTGATGAAGAAAATAATGCTTTTTTTCTTTTCTCCTGCACCTGTAGATGCAGACAATAAAATGTGTGGTGGTCGGGGATGGAGCTGTTGGGAAAACCTGCCTCCTCATCTCCTACACAACCAACAAATTCCCTTCAGAATATGTTCCCACGGTAAGATGCAAGGCTTTAAGAGGGTCCATGAGTAAGAGCCGGGGCATATTTAGGATCAGGAGTGACTGGCACACTTATTTCTGCTCTGTCCTATTTAATGTTAGAAGTAATATTTACTAAATAGGGTTATAAAATGCATCATGATGAAGGTGGTGATTGAGCTGCGTTATGTTTAGAACATTCGAACTGATTATAATTTATAATAGTTCAGTAAAATGGGGCTGTACGATGTGGATATAATGCGATGTTCGATAAAGTTGGTGGATGTCACCAATGCAATATTAGAAACGCTGAATTGTTATTATAATAGTGTGCCTGTGACTGGATGTGTCACAAGTACAGACCTTTTTGCTGTGTAAACAGAAGTCTAACTAACCTTTTCTTTAAGCTAAAAAAAAGAAACGCTTACTTAAATTAATAATATTGTTAGCTCATAACTGCAAGGACATTTTTGTGCACTATAAGGCTGAACAAGGACACACAGTATTACTGAGCTATTCTAAAAACTGTCAGGATTCTCCAAGCATCTTCTTCTTTTTTGTACTTATAATAAATATGGTTATTTTTTTATTTTCAATATAGGCCTGCACAGAATGAGTAGGTTTATATTTAATTGCTTAAAAAGTGCCTTATGATGATGCAGGTTTGTTGTGACTTCAGCTGTCACTTTCATACGTTTAGTCCATATAGTCTATGTATTTGACACACAACACAGAGAGTGAGAGTAGTGATCACGTTTGAAGTATTTTTACAAGCTAGTAGTTCTGGGTAGAGTCGTTTTTGAGCTGAAGCATGAGATTTACACCCATAACAATACTCTTAGTATAAGCCCCTTTTGAAAGTTTTTTTTTATCATTCTTAACATTCAGGCACTCTTTGGTTATTTAGGGTTATTCAGAAAAATCCTGAACTGGATAACTGCCCCTGAAATAATGTGAAAATCTAATAATGTATTTCTGTTCTTTTGTTTGTCAGGTGTTTGATAATTATGCTGTCACTGTTATGATTGGAGGTGAACCCTACACACTGGGTCTTTTCGACACAGCAGGTAAGGCAGCTCATGTAACCCAGAGTTTTTGTGCAGTGCTTTCTGCCTCTCGGCTGATGAACTCTAAGGCTGTGAATATAAGCAGTTTTCTGCGTGTCTCTTTAAGGTCAGGAGGATTATGACAGACTGCGGCCACTCAGCTACCCTCAGACAGATGTTTTCCTTGTCTGCTTCTCTGTTGTCTCTCCCTCCTCTTTTGAAAACGTCAAAGAGAAGGTTAGTTCTTTCACCATATACTCCACTTTTTCTGTCCACGTGCTGGTGAAAATGCCACTGTAGCTGCAGGGGCCGCTTGTAGAGTAGGTCAGGGTTTGGCCCTTTCATCTTTGGAAATTCAGGTGATACTGCTTCAGACAGAAATCTCAGGTTTAGTTCAGTGCAGTTGCCCAGCATCACCTGTTTTACCTGGTTCACTGAACAAAGTGGGACAAGAGTTAAGAGTAAATGCTCCAATTCATGTGAAGTTGTAACACACGTACTGCTCAAAGGTTTGAGTGTTTTTCTAATTGTGTAACTGACACCTTCTAAAATATTTAATTGCAATAAATAACTAAAACGTGGATGGAAGGAAATTACGTTTGTCTGCAGAATCTGACACACATTTTTTGTCATTTAAATTTTGTTCTAATTAGTGTAGTGTAGGTGCCCAGATGTTCTTGTATTTCAGTTTTTATTTTAGGTGTCCAGATATGTTTTTAAATTCTATGAAGCATAAATTTTCACCAGTAAAAGTAAGTTAACTTTCTTTTGAACAGATGACTTATCTCACTGTTTCTTGATGGGAATTAGCTGTAGAGTGTAACTGTAAAAGTTAAACTAATAATACAAGATAACTACTGTAGTATAGCTAACTAGCCAGCCAAGTTTACTGTGAACTTACTGTAATGTGAGTCTCTGTTGTCTTATCAACCTCTGTCAGTGATTTTCCATCACAGAAATTCCAGAGTCTTCCAGAAATATTTCAGTTGTGTTGTGACCGACTTTGCAGCATTTCTAAAGTTGAATGTATTTTGTGTATTTGCAGTGTGTTTATGAAATGTTGTTCAGGTGTAATCATGTTGATGAAAATGTTTTCTGAATTTGCATCGGGCTAAAGTTTACAACACATTTTTAACTGTACTGTATAGGGTCTTGTCAGCCACTGTATAAAACGTGTTTATATTAATTTAATGAAGACCTTCACAAAGACTTCACATTTTTAATAGTTTTCTATTGATATGTCCGAGCAGTAGCTTGGTGATACAGTCAGTATGTGACCACGTGTATAAAGAATATGTGTGTACATCATCTCCCCTATGTGAAAAAATGTCACGTTTAACTGAATATAAATAACGAAAGTCATATAAAGTCTATTAAATGTAGTTGCACTGTATGCCCCCACTGTCCTCCCATCACCCCTCTGTTCTGTAATGGACCGTTGAATATCTGGTTGTGCTGATGCAAATTGGACTGTAATTGGACTTATTGCACTAATAGTCTATGCATTCAGTATTTTTTTTATATTAAATACAGTGCTGTGAAAAAGTATTTGCCTTGATTTCTTTTCTATTTTTGCTAATTTGTCACATTTAAACGTTTCAGGACATCCAAAGGACAACATGAGTAAACACAAAATGCAGCTTTTAAATGATCATTGCATTTTTTGAAGATCTTTGCAGAATTGTTTTAAATTGGCCACATTGGAGGGTTTTCGAGCATGAACTGCCCTTTTTAGGTCTTGCACAGCGTCTCAGTGAAATTTAAGTTAGGACTCTGTCACTCCAAAACCCTAATTTTGTTTCTTTTGAGCCATTCAGAGGTGGACTGTCTTGTGTGCTTCAGATCACTCTCCTACTGTATAGCCCAACTGCCTAAACTTTGGGTCACGAACTGACGGACGAACATTCTCCTTCAGGATTTTCTGATAGAGAGCGGAATTCATGTTTCCATCAATTATGACAAGTCGTCCAGGTCCTGCAGACCTGCACTACCACTGCCATGTTTGACTGTTGGCATGATGTCCTTATGTTGGAACACGGTGTTAGCTTTACACCAGATGTACCCATGTCTTCCTAAAAAAAAAAAAGGTTTCACCTTTGACTCATCAGCCCACAGAATATTATCCGATAAGTCTTGGGGGTTAGTCTAGTTGTTTTTTGGTAAATGTTATCTGTATTTGAATCTCTTTGGATTGTGTCATTGTGCTGCTTTTCAAGTCATCCTAGCCTGATTCACATTGCCAGAGGTTCTATTTAAGTGATGTTTAAATTCAACAGGTCTGGCAGTAATCATGTCTGGGTGTGGCTAGTGAAACTGAACCCTGTAGTCTATTGAAATTGGTTAACTGGTTGATTTAGTAGCTTAAGGAGGCAATTACTTTTTCACACAGGGCCAAGTACGGCTGAACAGCGTTTTTCCTTCAAAAAATTAAATCATTATTTAAAAACAGAATATTGTGTTTACTTGGGTTATCTTTGTCTTAATTAAATGATCTGAAACATTCAAGTGTGACAAATGTGCCTAAAATAGAGTAAATTAGGAAAGGGGAAGTACTTTTTTATAGCACTGTGTGTTTTGTTGTGTTATATATAACTTTGACAACATTGAAAAGATGTTTTTCTTGACCAAACTGTCCCAACACTCTTCATCTGGGTTTCTCTACACTGTAGCTCAATTTCCAGACACCAGACTTCCTGTGTGCACAGGAAACATTTGAATCTGTACCACAAATATGGTGCTGTGGCATTTCCCGCTTCTCATCAGTGCTGCAGCATAAACAGAGACACTGAAGTTTTTAAACATCAATTGCAGTTAACAAAAGTACAAAAAAATATGTGTCACTAGACCACACAACAGTGGACCAAACTAAATACTAGCTGTAACTGAACATGAATAAAATGAGCAACAAAAAAATCAACTTATTATGCCTGCTAATGCCAAAAAGACTGTTCTTTGTGTCTGGTTTTCTGACTTATGGTAATTCTGGTAAATGCTGTTTCATGACCATTACTGTGCTTTGCTTTTCATGGTTTGATTTTCTTATCAGTTTATTTTTTTCTAAAGTGCCTTCATGCATTACTCAGTCAATCCAAACTTGTTACTTATGGCTGACAAAGTTCATTAGTTCTCAGTGATTTTTTTTTTAATTAATAAAAGAAAAGCATCCTGTAGTGCTCTGTAATGTTCATGTAATGTATCATGCACATAATCCTGCAAACACAGTTCTTGCAGACACTGCAGGAAGCACTGGGGGTGATGTGGCTTCTGTTATTTTGTTGCACCATGAAAGAAGTAAAAGGATGTGTTGCACAAACAGAACTTTGACTGATGGTAGCACTGTGACAAGGCAAAGTGAGAGGAAATCTCAGTGGTCATAATGGTTGAATCAGTTGATAATAGATGATCAAATGATAGTCAGTAGATTAATTGATTATACTAATAATCAGTATTTGCAGTCCTACTCTTTGTAAGTAAGCTAATGAGAGTTGATCAAGGTTTTCCTGTTTTTTTTCCCCCAGTGGGTGCCAGAGATTTCCCATCACTGTCCTCGTACTCCGTTCCTGCTGGTGGGCACCCAGGTGGATCTGAGAGACGACAGTAATACAGTGGAGAAACTAGCCAAGAACAAACAGCGCCCCATTTCGCCCGAGAGCGGTGACAAGCTGGCCAGAGACCTCAGAGCTGTCAAATATGTGGAGTGCTCTGCTCTCACCCAGGTAAAGGCCGTATTTTCAGCACAACACAGGCGTCTCATAATCACTAACTTCTGTGTCTTATTGTAGTGTGTGTGAGTTCTACACAAAACCAGCCTTTTTATTCTACACATTACCAAGTACACTATATGGACAAAAGCATGCAGATATTTTACGTCCTATTCCAAAACAGTGGCCAATCATATGGAGTTGCGACTATGACAGCCTCCACTTTTCTCGGAAGCCTTCCACATGACGTTGGAACGTGTATGTAGGAATTTGTGCCCAGTCAGTCAAAAGAGCATTTGTGAGGTCAGACATGAGAGGGCCTCGCAATCGATGTTTAAATTCATCCCAAAGGTGTTCAGTGGGGTTGAGGTCAGGGCTCTGTGCAGGCCGCTGGAGTTTCTCCACACCAAACTCATCAAACCATCTCTTTATGAACCTCGCTTTGTGCATAGGGGCACAGTCATGTGGGAACAGGAAAGGGCCTTCCCCAAACTGTGGCCACAAAGTGTCAAAATGTCTAAAATGTGTTTTAATGCTGTAGCGTTAATGGTACACTTCACAGGAAGTCCAAACCCTGAAAAACAGACCCAGAACATTATCCCTCCTCCACTAAACTTTTCTGTTGCCACTGTGCATTCTGGTAGGTAGCATTCTCCTGGTATCAGCTAAAAACAGATTCGTCCCTCAGAATGCCAGATTGTGAAGCATGATGCATCACTCCAGAGAACACTGCTCCAGAATCCATTGGCAGCCTGCAATTTTTCCATTCTGCACACTTCAGCACTCGAGGGCCCCGCTTTGTGAAATTGCATGGTCTGCTGCTTTGTACATGGACTGTTGTTGCTCCGTTTCACAGATATAGCACTTACAGTTGACCGTGGCAGATCCAACAGTACAGAAATTTCACCAACTAATATGGCAGAAGTCCTATGATAGTGCCACATTTAAAGTGACTGAACTCATCAGTACAACCCGTTCTACTGCTAGTGTTTGTCAATGGAGATTGCATGGCTATGTGCTTGATTTTATACATGTTAGCAATGAGTGTTTCTGAAACACCTGAACTCAATAATAAGGAGGGGTGTCCACATACCTTTGGCCATATATTGTACATCCTCTTTGAAAGCACTGACTTAAGCTTTTTGCAGTGTAGTTTTTTTTATACCTAATTCAAGAATATGTTGCACATTGCAAAAGCACCATTGATATGGCAGGCCATGGACTGGCAGACTGGATGTGGACCAAGCAAAGTATTCCAGTGGACTGAACTGAGCACTTGGGGAAAAAAAATATGTAGCAAAGCCAATTAACAAAATAAAGTCATATTTCAGCAACATATGTGAACGTGGACCAGCGCGGCTTCTGTAGCAGTCCTGTAGTTGCAGTTTATCCAGTCCGATGGATTTATTGAAATGACTTATGTAAATGGCCGAATGCAGCTCATATCAGGTCAGAAAAGTAATAATTTCGTATATTTTTGTAAGCTTTTAATTTCAGATTTTACTATTTTTGAACTGAGTAGTGAAGTGACAACATGGTTTGTTTAAAAAAAAAGGTAGATGACAAAAAACAGAATGTTTAACAATTAAGAGAGAACTGTGCATTTGTCTCCCCATTTAAAGTTCAAAACTGATGTGTCTCATCTGTTCAGAGGGTGTCAAAAAGTGGAAACGTCAAGCCCCAGTGTCACTGCGAAACAAAACAATAATTTGAATTAACCTACCCAGAGTGGTTGTCAATTCCCTGACAGCACAAGAGTGCGAAATGTTAATTAAAAATAGCCTTTGTCACTGTCTATTTACATTTTTTTTTTTTAATTTCATTTGAAAAAAGATTTTTTTCTTCTGTGGACAAATATTTTAAAAAGTCATATTTTATTTTTTAAAGACTTTATTCTTCCAAGAAGAAAATGATCACTTGCCAGGACTAACTATTCATGGTTAAGCATTTAAACATGGCTTTGTCGCCATCCACCTCTGTTAGTTTGTTTATACAGAACATTGTAAGCAAGACCTTTGATGTAACTCAACCTTTGCAGATTTTTGTAGGATTCTCCTGCTTTATGGCTTAAATATTCTAAAATATGAATTACATATGAAACTTAAAAGTTGAGAAGAGAGCTTCATTCTGTTAACTAGCGGACACTAACTTCCGTTAGCTAACTGAGTCAACCTATTTCAGAAAACTGACTGCCAGTTAGTGGTGACAGAAGTATGTCAGTATCAAATTACTTGCATCTCTTTCTACTTGTTCCACGCAGAGTTTTGAATATTTTGAACAAATTTCTTTTCTTGTTCATATTCACTGCAACAGAATTCAGCCAATAATTTTGTATGTCTTTTCAGAACTTGTTACCTCTGTGTAACTATGGAAATGGGTGCAGTCCATTGATACATTTATCAGTAGTGTAGTCTGGTAGGGGGGAATGGATTTTGCAAGGGGCTGAAGTGGGGGGTGTTTCCCTAACATCCGATAGTGATTAAAACTGTAGTTATGAAGGGATGTTTGGGGTCACCTAATTCCCAGTAAAAACTCCATTTATGACCACACTTAACACCTGATTATGGTTTGAAATTTTTTTGTTGTTAAGAGGTGCTTGAGATGTTTGACTTTGCTTTTCTTTTTTCTCTCTCTCTCTTGTTTTCTCTTTCAGAGAGGACTGAAGAATGTGTTTGACGAGGCCATACTGGCAGCACTGGAGCCTCCAGAGACCAAACCGAAGAAGCGCTGCACTCTGCTGTAGAGGACGACAGGGGTTGAGGGACACACTCCTCAGAGAAAGAGAGGGAGAGGGGACAGCACAGTAAGGGATTATGGGATGGGAGGGTTTACCTATCAGACTTAAAAAGGTTAGTTAAAAATGGAAACAGCAAAGAGAAAGAAAATGTGAAAAGAACGGGAGATGGGCTTAACAGTGTTTAAGAAATTAAAAAACAAAACTGCACACAGTGCCTTCAAAATCTTACACAATGTCAAAGAAAAACTTGAATCAGCAGCTCTTCTGACCCAAGCTAGGAAATAATAAAATGCTTGTGAAAAGTTGGAGCACTTTAAGTGGGACTGTATATCGTATATCTGAATCTCCTTCAGCTGCAGACTGGCAGCTCATCACTGAGCAACAAACCAGGCCTTCGGTTCTCATTCTGCAAGACTTGACAAAGCCAACCATTGGCTAGAATACATAATTGTTTCGCATTTGCCCTCATAAAAAAATACAAATGCTTTTTAATTTAATTAAGGTAACCAGTACTGTGTTCTTTGTCTTACAGTCTTAAATCTGTAAGAAAAACATTCCAAAAAGTGAAAGATGCCTCTTACCCTTATTTAGATGGCCACTAAAGAGATTTCTATCAGGCAGTTGCTCTTGTTGTTTTATTGTGGTCAGCCAGAGTGTTCTTAAGACTTACACACACCTACTCTTTTCAAAAAATATTTACAGGATCATTTTTGTGTAATTTTAAGAGCTTTTGTCCAGAGATGCAAAGAGGATCTTACTATTAAAAGAAACCCTTCTGTAGATCCTCGACCAGGATTCTTACTTCGCTTGTGGAGCTCTGGATGTTGTTCCCCTGCAGGTTGTATAAAGAACTGCATTTTTACAAAAATATTGTTTTTAAAGCCACGTTCAGGAGCTGTATATCTTCAAAGCAGTGGACAGCTGAGCCAGGATCAGCTGTAAGTATATTAACAATATGTAATAGTAAGTGTTGGTGCTGTTTGAAAGCCACTGTTCATGCAGTCAGCAGGGTGCAGAAGCTTGTGACTGGGGCTTTTATGCCGTACTGTATTGAAGGAATGTTCCAGCATTTTTCATTCTAATCTCTATTTAACAGATCTGTTAGCAAAGCAACAGTTGGCACACAGCAGTGTTAGTTTACCACTATGTTGGTAAAATATTACCACAGGTTGTAGTTACTAGTTACATGTCTAAAGGATGGATTATACAGATTTACAGCTTAATTTACAAATAGCTTTGAAGAATTCATGAAATTATTCTATAAAAATGTGCTTTGCATAAACGATTAGTGACAAAACACAGCAACTGCCAGTGGGCTTCTATTAAATGTGTTTCAAGTCTATGGGTTTTCAGTCCTTTTCTTTTAAAATACAGAGAAACATGTTGTTGCTGTCCCTGGAAATCAGTCGTATGCTACATATGTAGCAGATAGTGATTAGGTTGAAAGATGCTGGAATATTCCTTTACAAGTCTTACTTTCTTTTTGGGGTGAATAAATTTAGTAGTAATGCGCTTTGAAACTTGAGTTGTTTTTGTTGTTGTTGTTTTTTTTTTATGTTTTTTTTTCTTTTCATTTTTGATAGACATATTTTGTGATTTACTGCTAATGTAACAGTTTGAAATGTGCTCTCTTGAATAACCATTTTACCAACAAAAAATAGAGGTCTTAAATATGGCTTTTTCTTAGTCCAGCTCTGTGGTGTTTTTAATTTCACTATATTTGTAATAAAAGTGGTGCAACTGACACAAAAGCAGAGATCTTTTATTCTAATTATCAACATCTAAACAATACTGCAATACTTTTGTAATGTATTATATGCATACGTTACGTATTACAAGTCATACACCATGCATACTGCAGTGGATTAGTTCAGCATTTGGTGTGTAAACCAGTTTATTTTTAACAGGCAATCAGAGCATATAGCAGCAAGAAGAGAACGATGCAACTGGTGTGCAGCAGGACAACATGTTGGTACAACACAGAGTGATCAGAAATGTAGATTTACACACAGGCAGGATAGGAATTCAAATAAATAAGAGAGGAGACAGACAATCAGTAACACTGATGAGGAATTATAAATACTTATATGCAAAGTGCACTAGTCTAAATTGGTAAAACTATGTACTAAATCTCCATAAAGAAAGAGTTATTCCAAGGTTAAATTCCGCCTTAAAGCTTTGTCTGATCAAGTTAGCTTTGTGTGCATGTGTGCATCAGTTGGAGGGTTTACTGTAAGCAGAACTGTACTTAGTGTTGTTCATGAGCCTGTGCAAAGGTAGCAGAACTACAAACATAACAGCATAAACAGAAAGTGTAGGAATCGTATTATGCGCCTCCGCTGTGCTGTGCCTAGTGTTAGTAAATTGTAGGAGTGTAGGAAAAGTTGGATAATGATGTCGGATTCTGGAGCAAGGATCTGTTTGCAGTAAAAAGGTAAGGCAGGCTTAGTTGTATGGGTCACTCTTTGCAGGTGTGAATGAGCACTGTGTTTTTGCACTGTTGGCACCGGACTGAGCAGCACCAGGAGAACTTGCAGGAGCAGCGCTGGATCACCTCGGCTCTTCCAGCCCGGAAACCTGGCCCACAGCACACCAGCTCACAGCCGTCTGGCGCCAGGCGTGATGTACCTGCAGCCCAAGCACAGAGAACAGGAGCAGGAAGAGAGAAGAAGTCATTCCACAGTCATTAAACTGTGTTAGCAGCAAGCATACCCAGCATTCCATTTCAAGGGGTGGGGGTTGCATAAAGGAAGCTGTGGTCCTTAAGTTTCAGTCCCCTTTGTCTGAAATAGTTTATTTCCATTCCTTGATTGAAGGCTGTCATTTATAATCCAGTTGTTTCCTGATCTAATTATAGAATCAGTGCCATAGGTTTGTGCTTTTCTATGATAATTAGATCATTTGGTGGCTAAGCCAATCAGATCAGGTCTGCTTAGAACTCATATTTTTCTGTGATTTCATACAGTGATTACTTTTAGTTAGTGCAGTTTTAGTGGCCTCACCATTGCAACGGCGGCCAGCTGTCCCCGGGATGCCGTTTTCAGGGTCTAGGCGGCAGAAATCTGGTGAAGCGGCCAAGTACACGAGGTCACGTGCAGCCGGTGGCTTCACCTGGGGGTCCTTTGGCAGCAGAGCTGCGCGAGAGCCCACCCGTGTCAGACGCACCTTACAACAACCAGAGAGCGGTGTGACCACAGGGCTGGATATTTCTGAGTAACTGACATGTAAACATCCCAGCAACACTGCATTACCTGATACACTTGTTCCAGTCATGTCAATGTCACTGCTGTATTTAAAATGGCCCATTAATGAATGGAGGAGAAGCTGGATGACAAATTGTGCATAATGTATATGCACGTTATCTTAAATCTATTTTAAGTATTCTACCCTGTTTATTTTACACTATCTGATTTGTTCTAGTTAGTGTGGTTCTGGCTTCTTTTGGAAATTACAACCCTAGCCATGAGGTTTTTGAGATGTAGGGGTCAACCAGGGTCAGGGGTCAGTGGTGGAGCGTGTACCTCTGTGGCTCCATCGAAGCGCTCCTTCAGCACAGCACCAACCCGGCGAAACGGGGGCATGACCTTCCAGCAGGTCCTGAGCTCACAGGAGCCGGACACACCGTGACACTTACACTCAACCTGCATGTTGTGGAGGATGGCCTGGAAGGGAGGATGAGAGAGAGAGAGAGAGCAACAGATGAGAATGGAACCTGAGTGAAAAACAGAGGGATCTTTTGATGTATAGTCGTTCTTTTCTCTGCGCTTACCTTGCGCCCTGCTTCGTTATTGTGGATGTTCATTAGTGGTCGGCCTGATGACGTGCCTTTCGCCCGCTCCGGCTCATCCACGAATGTCTGCGAGAATGCCACACCGTAGGACAGGTTATCTGAACAGCCAGACCACTGGAACCCTGCACAGAGGGGGAGAGAGAGGGGGCGGGTTTCCGTTTTAGTTACATTTGTGATGCTGATACTCTATTTGTTGAGCTGAAAGATTTTACTCAAAAATGAGAGAATACGAACGAAGGCCAATGGCACAGTAAGCATTACTAAACACTTACTGTTGACTTACGTGGTCTAGTGCCCTCCCCTACTCAGCTGACCTCATTCACCAATATTCCCTGGCCATCCTCTCAAATCCAAAAACTAAAAAAAGTCTTTTATAATGTCTCAGTTTCCTGGCTGTCTCTACAAACCTTAAATTTGGGGGCAGAGGCTGAACGAAAGGTTTCGGGGATGGAAAAAAAGTTGTGAAAATGTTCTTAAATGCAGTTCTTTAAAAAAAGTCTTTCTTTAAGAAAATCGTAATGATTTTCTTACGTATTGTATTAGCTTATTTACCATGTAGCCAATTGATGTGTCACAAATCACAGTCAGTCGTTGACGGCGCGAGACGGTTTTGAATTTGAATGAGCTTAAGCCGTTGGGGTTTAGCTGTCAGGCTAACGTTATTTCAGTGTAGTTCACTCGGCTCCTGAAGACGGCACAGGCATGAAGGTAAAAAACACTTAATGTTCAAACTCTTTAGCTAGTAGCTAACTGTAATAAAACAACGTTAATTTAAGTAAATTATAATAACGCTTAAATTTAATTAGACACTTGGAAGAGAACCTTTCTTCTCTGAGACTGCGCGGCGCTGGCGGTGTTCATTCAGAAGCAGGTAACCTAACTAGCTAGGTTAGCTAACTAACTAGTTAGGCTAGCTAAGGTAGCTAGCTAGTTAACTAGCTAACAAAGTTGTCTTTACCAACTCACTATTTCCTTTCTAACGTTACTTTCTACACACGTTGCATAAATAATGTTACAGTTAACACTTCGTTTTGTGCTGGTTACTTGCACATTATGTTAAAGTAACTCATACCTTATCTTTTAATTAAACGAAATTACAAGTCAGGTTAGTTCTATTTAGGGATTATTTTATGTTAATATAATGTTTCTGTTGGTTCAGGGTGGTTTTGTAGTGGTATTTTTCTGCGTTATGGGTTGATACTTTTAACAGGTGATGTGTAACTGATATATTGTATTTCTGTTTTTGTATATATTTTAAAAGTTAGTACTGTGTAGTTTTGGCCAGGAGGAGAGGTGAAATGACGTCTGGTCCACACAGTATAAATAGAGTTTTAGTGAGGAGGGCGTGCCAGTAGCTCTTGCCAAAGGCACGTTCACTCATTCTTTAAGATGAGATATTTGTGCTTCATGAGTTTGAGTGAGGTGGGTTTTTTTCGGTTTGACTCACCTTCTGGACTAACCCCTCTAACTTTCCGGTCACAGCCGCACCTCTCCAGCTCCCCCCGGCTGCAGCCCCTTGTTACTGCCGCTGCCACCGCCGCAGAAGACAGAGCATGGACGAAAGCTGCCTCCCGTGTTCCTGTGGACAGCACACAACCCTCAGTGTCACACACAGTCAGTATCACACCAGTCACACTTAGAGCTGGTAGAGAATGTCTTTTCTGAGCTTAGTTCACTGCCAAAATTGTGCATGAACATAAACCTGGTTTACAGTACTGAAACTGATGCTTTTTGGCATAAATTCATTGTTGGCAGTGCCACATAGGGTTTATTAATATGTGATTTGCAAAAGTGATTCTAAGGAGTATCTAGCCAGAACCAAAGACTGGAAAATTCTGACCTTGGTTCATCACCCGGCCAAACACATTAATGCCACGAGGTGTGGTGGAACAGTTCCAGCGACGGTTTCTGAACTGGTGCTGACACTACCAAGATGGACAAACAGGGAAAGAGGTGATTAGAAAAAGGGGCTTCCTGTCATGTATTCAGATTTTATTCTTCTGACTGTAACACACCAAAAGCACCTTATTGTGAAATAATATACAGAATTATGCAATGAGCAAAACAAATCAAAACTCTTATGCTTTGGATTATTTAAAGCAGTTCTCCTTTGCTGAGACTGTTGAAAACTACTTGTTGGATGAAATAAAAAAATTACATTCAGTATTTTTGTTTTGGAAATAAATTCAAATATAAACATTGGCTTTACAGTTTGCATCTGTGTTAGAAACCACTTTCAAGAATTTAAGCATGAGCCTTTTAGATTAAAATGTCTTTAAAATTAGACACATTCAAGTTCGTTTGGTCAAAACTTCTAACTGGAACTTTACATCTACTAATCTGTGACCGGGTGCACAGTGGGACACTGCACAAAGAATCTGTGAACATCTGTGAAGTCTATCCAATCATTTACGGTGATCATGTATGGATTACTTGATTGCTCACACAATTGTCATCAAACTCAAACAGTTATATGAAACATTTTAAGATGTGTTAGGTTTAGTGATCACTCTCACCTCCTCGATGACCATCTCTGCAGCTTTCCTCACGGACTCCATGACCTCCCCCCGTGCCCGGCATACCCCCACCTGTCCTGCAGAAAGCCCCCTCAGACGCCCACATGGCCCGTCACCCGATATCGGACGAGAACGCGGCAGCCGGGCCAGAGAACTACAGAAAGAGAAAAAGAAGGCAGTAAGTACGTTACCATGAAGAAAGAGAACAGACAAGAGGACAAGGGTTGAATAGGAGGAGGAGACAATGAACAAGGCATGGTAGAGAGAGAGGGAGTATTTTAAGAGTTAAGAAAGACAAAGAGAGGGGAGCAGAGGGTGCGTGAGAAGGAGAAAGATGTCACCATCTTTTACAGGTTATAGCATTACAAACAAACCCATCCATGCGCGCCAACTTACAGCCAGTTGGTCGCCATGGAGAGGTGGGTTGCCCATAGCAACAGCAGGAGGAGTCGTCCCGTGTGATTCACAGAGGAGACCGTTGGCATCAGACTGCCTGTCCTTCTGTCTGTCTGTCTGCGGTGTGGTTTGGGTGCGTGGACCGAGTTGTGGTCGTTTCTTGTCCCCTCTCACCCTGTTAGCTTTAGTGTTGGGGATTATCCCCTCATATCTGCTGAAAAGAACCAACATGTATGAGTTATAAGATGTTAACCTCTTAAACGTTAGGCTTATTATTCAGTTATTAAGTTTATGGCGTATTACCCTGTAAGTACCACAAATTATTCAGTAATAACTATGTAAATGGGCTATTATGTAATCTATGTAGTTATTGGAGTATTGGAACTGAAGTGTGGGCTCATATACAGGCCCTTAGAGTTTGAGGGGTTAAAATACACAGATGTTTATTTTAGAACGGTCTTGTTTCCATGTCTAGGCCTCAGGACCATTAATATAAATAGTCCAGTGGAAAGTTTAATTTTTAGCAACATGGTTTTTATAGGACCCTCATAGCAATAGCATCAGCACCAAGAAATACGGCAAAATCTACCCAACATTTACCACAAGTCTCCTGTGTTAATGGTTTAAGATAGAGAAGATAATAGGCTCATTTAAAACAACCAGTGATTTCTTCCAAAAAGTCAATGATGAATAAGATGAGGGAAGAGTCTTACCAGTCCAGACGGAACACACTGACCATCCATGCAGAATTACATCCAACAGAGTTACTTTTTAAAGCCAGTCCACGCAGACGTGTGTTCAGTAGAATCACAATCTCTTAAGCCCACCTTGACCACTAGTCATCTTACAGGATTGTGATTCATGATCATTTGTGAGAATAATGACTTTATGCAAAGATTATTGCTGAGTTTGACCAGTATCTTTAAACAAGTAGGGTGTATATCTCTTTATCACTTCCCCAGTTTTATATTCTCATAATTACTGTTATTTCCTTAGAGAAGAAGAGTATATGTCCTTTCCGGAAAAAAAGTAAATGTGAATATTTCAGTCCATTCTCCAGAAAGAAGAAAGTCCAGTGAAGTCAGAAAGACTGAATGTAGATGGAGTGTTGGGAGAGGGGTTATAAAGGAGGCCTGGATGGAGGGAGAGAGGGAGGGATGGAGGAATGGGGACATAGGAGGGGTAATGGGTCAGCTTGTAGTACATTAAGAGTGACATGGAGAGATGAGTTTGCCTCATTATCACTGTTAGCATAGAACACAGTGTGTGACCTCACCTTAAAGACAAGTGTTATAACTGTGTGTGTGTGTGTGTGTGTGTTAGGAAGCAAGAGAGAGGGTGACTCAATTCATAACCTGAATAAATGTAATTACACCTTCTTCTTGTATGTGTATGTGTGAGAGGGCGTAATGAAGTCCTCTAGTTGAATGGGTGTGACACGTGTGTATTTACACATGAAAACGTGTAACTACGAAGGATGATGTCGGAGAAAAATTCGCACTGTGATATTTTTGTTTTGTACTATTTTTTTTTACTACATTCTGAATATTGTGATAACAATAAAGAAGCCAAATATTTACCCAGAAATACTACTCTCAGATGAAAAAATGATTACTCTAGTTATGAAAAAGGTCAGTTTTGCAGGAGATTTAAGTACTTCAGAATTCCAGTTAGGGCAAAATGGACAAGATACCATACTACAATTATATTGGTATATGTTATGATTACAAGGCACACCAAATTAGTACAAACTGCATTTTCACAGTAAAAAAACTATTTGAAAAAACAATTCAAGTATTCAGGTCTTTGATATTTACAAGACCTTTGATCATGTCATGTTTTATTAAAAACCCAAAACACTAATTGAGATAGTAATAAGCTATACTAATAAGCTAAATACAAAATCATCATTTAAGGGGACTTTCTGTCCCAAACCCTAACTCCTGAATTTCAACTTGTGCAAATATTCCTTTAATTTTTTGCATTTGTCCAAGTCCAAGCGAGAAATGTGTTTTTAACTCCATATTTAAACCTATTCTTTAGAAAGATCCATATCAGACTTAAACACATCCTGGAAATTTAGAGCCTAGTTTTCCAGTTGAAAAGTTGGACAATGAAAAAATGACAAAAATATCTTGGAAATTTTGGTGTGGTTCTGGAAAAATGTAATGTTGGGGTATTAAGCCACTAAGATGGAGTATTTTAGTAGCCCTATGTATTGAAGTTTGTAATACTGTAGTGTCATGTGGACGGATGAATGCTAAAGTATTTACGTGATGGCGTCATATCTCACAGCGTTTTATGTTATGAATGAGGAGTCACTACTCATAACACAAATCATCATTGGTGACTAGGACATGCACATTTGCTTTAGATGTATCAGCAATCAGTTGTTTAATAACGTTAGCAGCTTTTTCAAGTTACTAGCTAACATCTGCCAGGTATTCATCAGAGAGCCAGTCACAGTTCCATTGCCTTCAGGAAATCAAATCCTTTTCATATCTAGGCTGTATTTGTTTGTCCAAGGAAATGACAGAGGGAGGGAGCTTGGGACATTTTAACCATTGTTGTTATTTTTAATGCATATTTTAATATAAGCCAAACTTAGATGATAAAAACAGAGCCTTTTCGCCTGTTAACTATCAGTCAGGCTGGTTGCATTCTTACCTGTGATATACAGGATATTCTCTGTTGTATGTCGCTTGACAAGCGAAAATTTTAAAAAGATAATAATCATTCAATTTTTAAAAAACTAAGATGAGTTTAAAAATTCATATATCCATTTGTTTATTTGTACAATTTTAATTTTTGCTATTGTAAATTATTTATTATTGAAAAGTAGCTTTAAATGAAATGTAAGGTAACTGGTGAAATTTTTAGTTTGGGATTATGCTTTCTTATTTATTAAAGAACTGAATGGAGTTTAGAATGCATTTTGTTTATGTGTGTATTGGCAGCCAGTGTATATACAGTAGGGCCCAAATATCTTTCATTACAAATTGTATTAACAACATAACAACTTGAATGAAAAGTAGAATCTTTGAGTACATCAAATTCCTCCTGACAGTCATCAGTGTCACAAATATGCTTAAAATGGAATAGTGACCTACAAATAGTGCAGAATATTTCTTTTTCATTTTACTTGTCAGAACATTTTATGTTTTTCAAAATGTCCCATTGTTTGTTTCCAAGCGTAAATGAAAAAAAAATCCTAGATTTTCAGTGGTCTCAGTCTTTTGAAGCCCACTGTAAATATATTATTTATGTACATACTCTGTATATATACAGTGTTTCTGTGTGTGTGTATGTGTGAAAGAGCGGGGGAGTCTCCTACTTGAATGCGTATTACATTTGTTTGTATTTGGAGGTGAAAGTGTGGGCAGTCCAAGTACAGTCCAGTACATGGTTACAATACATATCACTATAACTCTCTCCTGTGTGTGTGTGTGTGTGTGTGTGTGTGTGTGTGTGTGTTTGTTACCTAGTGTCAGTGAAGGCAGTGTCAGAAAATGTTGCCCTTAAATCCTGCAGCCCTCACAAAACAGTTGTGCGTAAAAAAGCCACAGAGTGTAAGAGTGTGAGAAAGAAATACGGGCTTCCACAATAAATAACCTGATAGATACAATGCAGGAGAGGAAGAGCGGTGCAACCCCAACCCAAAACCCACCCTAGTGAGCACGCCTTACCTAATGTTTAATTTTCCCAAACTTTGTTACTCGTTTTACGAGTGTCCACCTCCCCCTTTACCACACTCCCCCCTGCTCCCTCATCCTTTACCCCTCTGCATTGTCTTAAAAGAAGGGATGACATTTAGACAAGAGGGCAACCGCAGTGCCAACAAATATTGGAACTGGGGAAAATAAATCACCTCTAGAGGTTGGGGGGTGTTGTGGGGTGCTAGAGTAGGACCCCAACACTGAGGATTATGGTAGAACATTTAAAACAAGATGATTTTGTCACTTGTGTTGTTTTTTTGTCTTTGCATCATTTATGGACGGACTTAACAGTTTATGTTTGCCATTTGTGGAAAACTTCAGCCTGAAACATCAGAGAGAAGTACAAAAAAGTTGAATGGTATCGTCAACACTTGACTAAATAAAAACTTTTATTGTGTTAAACATGCTACTCACTCCACAGATGTGTTTGAAACCACTCCCTATTAGAGAAATAGTTCACTATATGGTGTGTCTGCCATTGTGTAATGTTGTTTGAATTCTCAGTGAAATATTTTTCCATTAAACCGTATTCATTCCCTAGTCAGTTCACTATACAGCAAACATTACACAGACTGGCCACTTAATTAAGTATACCTCCTTTTTTGTCCATTTTATCTGCTCCCCTTACCATATATGTGCACTTTGTAGTTCTGCAGACTGTAGTTCTTTTGTTTCTCTGCATACTTGTTCTGTTTCTATACCCTGTTCTTCAATGATCAAGACCCCTACAGGACCACCACAGAGCAGGTATTATTTGGGTGGTGGATCATTGTCAGCACTGCACTGACGTGGTGGTGGCGTGTTAGTGTGTGTTGCGCTGGTATGGGCGGATCAGGCACAGGAGTGCTGATTGAGTTTTAAAAACTGACTAAAGTAGTTTATCTGTTGCTGCACATTTTGTGCTAATCAGTCTATACCCTCAAAAAAGATGGTTCTTCATAGGTTGTTAAAGTAAAGAGAACGCAAAGCCAAAGTGAAGCTTGGATTTTCTTTTCTCTATTAGCTTTTCCATTATAGAAATGGCCATAAAGTACCAGAATAATGACTAAAATTAAATGACAAATAGCTGTTTTACATTTATTTTTATTTTTGTCACAAATGTCACAAATCACTCAGGCTTATGTGAAAAAATAAATTGCAAATGTAGGTTTTTCAATTTATTTTCAATTTTGGCAAGCTATTTGCACAGATGTTTGGAAAAAGAAATGGCAAAAAGAGGTTTGCAATTACAGTTTATTGTTTTAATTATAATTTCTTTTTTGGCTGGATTTTACTCCCATAGTTCTATAGCATGTAACTGTAGAACTACAAAGTGCACCTATAATTGAACCTGACCGAATGGACAAAGAGTGTAAATAAGGTGGCTGGTCAGTATATGTAGTAAATAGTGAGA